GGTCGCCTAACCCTAGGGGGTGCCCACCTGCCCCCTTTGCTCCATTTTACTTCCTACACAGAAATACTCCATATACATGTGGAACTTTGTTATTTGAATAAAATATGCTCATGCAACGCTCATTTTCTTTTGTTATGAGACATGTTGACTGTAACAGAACTGTCCAATTTATAAAAGCACAAGTACGATGGCTACTGCTAAGGACAATGGCATGTTCATACTCGATTCCATATAAACTCGGTAGTCCGTCGAGTATCACTAAGGACCTCGATTAATCAACTTTATAACCAAGATCGTACTCGATTAAGCAACAACATGCATCACACATATGGAGTTCGCAGCAGAAATAATATTACAAACCAAGTTCACAAGTATTTAATACAACACTGAGTTCAAACCCAGTAGTTAAAACAACATAGTTTTGAAACAACTACAGTAGCACAAGTTCAAATATACTATCTATTTGATAACAATCTCCAACACAAAAAGCATATATGAGGTATATAAGCACATGCTGCTGCTCCAAAGGATTCTCCTCCTCCATTACCACGTACTCCACCAGTGGTGTTCCCTCCTCCAATCTAAGCATGAATATGACGCATAAGTAAAAGGAATGCACAGGAAAGTTACAAGCATATAGCAACTCATAAGGAAGCAAGTTACAAGCTTAAATTAAGCATTTTCTAGACTACAGCACAACAGTCACTTGGTTTAACCATAACTGGAGTTTTAAGCATCCAGCAAACATGTTCTTTAACTTTATGGAAAGCTTACGAAATTTTTCACAACTCTCTTATTATCATCTTAAGATGATTCAACAGTTAACAAGGTCAAACAATACAATGTTTCATAACTACACAACAAACAAAACCTGACAGGGAATTTATAAAATCTATTACTCACAAACCTGCCGGTCTAAATCATGAAATTTTAGAACAACACAGATGAGTAAGCTATATACAACTTTGTTATTGTCAAGATTCACAACAAGCATCATTTTCACCGTGAAAACATCATCACAACAGAGACTACACATGCAGCCATTTTCAGCACATATAAAAAGGTTCATCACTTGTTTGGTTAATCAAGATAGCACACACATAAGCCACATTTCTCAGGGGAACAAACTAGTCCTAACAAGTGCTTAACATCAGCAACCAAGGATACATAGCATACATATCAAGCTTCTCACAGAAAGACTAAAAGTTATACTAACAAACACTTGGATAGCAAACAAAAAGAGGAACTACATACAAAACATGATTTTGCACCCATGAAAACATAGTAATGGATAAGGCACATCCTAAAAATGCTGGAAAATGTATTGTTGCAACTCAATTACATTATTAACATGCTAAAACATAATTACCTAGTAAACAAGGCACAAAAAGGAAAAGGCTATCTGCTGTTCAAATCTGGTTCCCAGAAAAATACTGCAGCACATACATACTGTACCTAGCATACTGCATAAATTTCATCACATTTGGACATATAGGCATCATATACAAAAAGGACAAGCAAAACAAGCTTAAATCAACTTAAACAGGTTCAACCCACTTTTTAGTGTCAAACAACAAATTTCATAATTTTCCTACATAGAGCATGTTACCACAAAACTGTGAAAAAAGGTTTCATGAATCTGCTTCCTTGGGCATGATCAGAGTTATTATGTTTCAGCCTTTCAGGTAGTTGTAGTTGCTGGTCTGAAATTGCTTCCAATTTGGCCAAAACAATATGCTGACAGAGCTAGCAAACTTTTATTACTACTAGAAACAATATTGCCCCCGGGATGTTCTCTATACAGCACTTATGGGTAAAGATCTGCTTACATGAAGAATGAATTCATCTATAGTTCACCTGATTCATTGTGCCTGATGTGACTTTGATCGGATTTTCTTTTCCATATTTTGATCGACTTAGTTCTAAATTTAAGGAAACTCATTAGTTCTATTTTTTTTGTACAGGAACCTTGGGCACTTTTGTTACTTTGCTAAAATACTAACTCTTTGCATTTGGTTGTTTAACTGCAACTAATCACCCTTGGCTTCACAGGGCGAATGTTTTAATATGAACATCTTATTGGGGAATTTCATTTCCTGCATTTGACCGTTCATGTGCTATGCTGCACCTTACTACTCCTAGCTTTCAACATGCGAGCTCATCACTGCATTTTGGAAATATATTTATCTCACCAGCCAAGGCACAACACAGCATCAAGGCTAGCCCAGATACATGACACTTCCATGTGTGTATTCTTTTATTTTACTTGCTTCTATTTCGCACCACAAAAAAAATGACTTGCCAAGTCCAACTATTTATACAAGCATGGGTGTGCTCCCAATTAACACCAGCATTCACAAAATTATTGGTATAAATCTTGACAAACAATTTATCAATCCATGTATTTTTGTCCCGTAGAGGGTAACCTTATGGTTATAATGAAATTGATCTCATGTCAAGGGGATTTATATTTATTTTTTATGGATCTTCAAAAGATATTGAATGGACAAGTACATCATGCACTTGGGCTATTAGCGTGTACTGTAGCAACACCATACCTTGGCGTGAACTGATTAAACGCCGACGTGCCTAACCTTGGCGTTAAATGATTAAACGCCGAGTTTCGGGCCGGATCGACACGTTGGCGCTTACGTGGCAAGTTTAGCGTTCATTCGTAGCGTGCCAAGCCACATATCTCGGTGCAGTATCATTGCACGTCGAGCTTTCGGTCTATTTTTAGAAAAAGTTTCACGGAGGGTCTATCTATAAAATATGTTTTAAAAAAGAACTAAAATGCAAAAATTTCACGCACAGAGGCGAGTTCTGAGCATGCTGACGAGGGCTCGTCCTTCCCGACGAGCCCAGGCCAGCGCGCCCGAGCAGATGGCCGGTAGGTGGTGGCGTGTCTGTGTCGCGTACACCCTCGCGAACCAAGGCGAGATTCTCGCCGTAGCTAGCGTGTACAGGCGCCAATCATGTTTTTTTTGCCAAAACGTCTTTTTTTTTTCTTGTGTTGTAACCCTCAAATTTGTTTTTGTTGGTTCATTGTAGGTTAGAGCTCTGGGGTGGGCATTTGTACAGGGGTTAGTCACCGTCTTCGTGCTTCTACACGCTTCCATCATGGTCTACCTGGTTTACTATGACAGTGCCTATGCATTTATCTATGCACGGATCAGAGGCATGGCCTTGAGTTACCTGCAGAGATCTATGCATACATATATGCATTTATAAAGAAGTTACTTATAGGGCAGCTACAGGATCCAGAGATGAGCAGGCAGATTCAGGACACTATCGTACAGATTGCTAAACCCAGGTTACCGTGGAGTTACATCTCCGGTGGTACAATCTTGTACCTTTGTTGGCGTAACTTAGGTTTCGGTCGCCGTTAGTGTTGTAGGACTCAAATGTGAAAGGAACGGAGAAGTGAGAGATGTCAGTTGGCTTCCATTAGGCTTACTTTGGCAGCAGGGGCCAATTAGCCTAGGGATGATTACCTCTGACGTGGATTTTTTTGGGACTTCTTCTTCCCGCCTCTTCCCAGGGCTGGTAACCACAGTGGGGGAACTTTCCACGTCTTCCTTTGGAAACAGGTTGACGGCACAGGGGAAACAAGAATAGCATTATCGCAGGAGTACTAGACAACTGAACCATTCTGCCGACGTGCCGACATGTTGGTGCCGAACTGAACGTCCACATGCCGACGTGCTGGTTGGCAACAGGCCTACTGAACCGAACTGAACTGATAATACACAACTTCGGCAACAGGATGTCTATCGCAGAGAAAACACGAACTTGCTGTCTTGCAGCCAAAGTACAGCAGCACTTCTACCAAAGTACTAGTACTTCTGCCAAAGTATGGCAACAAAATTGAAAACAGTGTCTTGAAAAATCAAGAAAAATCTGAATTTCTTAAATAATATAATGAAATCACCAAAGATCAATACCAACCACATCATTTTCATGATCATAATGCATGAAAAATCACAAGACCAAAATTATTTGACTAATTCAAGTGCCAAATTCAACCCACTACCAAACTGATCCAATACATAGAAGCCTGAAATGTCCAACATGCACTACCAAAATTGACCACACTTCTCTTGTCTCAAATCATGCATTGCCTCCACCAAACTCTCTGCAATTAACACACAAAAAAAATGAACTCTTGTGAGGCCCTATAGTATAAGGTCAAAATACAGAGCATATAGGTAAAAGAAGCATGTTATCACCATGTTTACAGCTAGCTGTCAGTTCAGGCTAAGAATTTTTTTTTGTACAAAGTGCAGAAAGATAACCACACCAAAACCATTTCCTAATACCAGCAACAAAGAGTACTGATGGCATGCAGCATTGGCAAGTGCAAGCTGTTGTACAATTGTGTAGTCATCAGTTTCATATGGCTCAAGGTTATCTATCCCTATGAACAAATTTTATGTACACGACATCCGAAAAGTGTAATATGAGTCATGCCTTGTGAAATTTTAAGATCCCTCAAGATAGGGGATCAGACATGCAATCCTCTTGAAAGGAGAGGAGCCTGATAAGGTTAGCGGTGGTCGTTGCCTAATCAAATGGCTGCTGGCCAGTGATCTGCAAGCCCAAGGGAAGAAGTGGTTTGGGCATCTTATATTTATAGCATTATTTTTATAAACAAAAGAGGCTACTTGCAAATAAGATCGGAAACACAGCTCAGACACTGACCAATCTACCAATGTGTGCTCAACCCTCCCTGTAGGAAAGGTCTCAGGAAAGCTATCATCATGACAACCTGACAAGGACTGAGCTATGCTTTCACAGCAGGAAAATAGAATCTCAATTTAGCAACACATAGCTAACCTGACAACAGCAATCCAAGTTCTGTAGAGAACATAAGCAAGGACAAATGACAAATTCTAGGCTCACACTAATAATTTTTTTTGACCTAACCAGTGCAATATACTGTGCTCACAACGATGGAAATACCTGCATACAATGACTGCAGCTGCATTTTTCTTCTCAATTCAAACATTGCCTCCACCAACATTGCCTCTACAGATAGCACTGCAAGTAAGCACAAGGAAAAGCATTAGCAGCTAAGACATACCAAAGTAAAATAATCCAGTGGCAGCTAAGCATTATTACCTAATCTGCTGTTTGAGCCAAATCAAGCGAACATTTTTGTTTTTCATTTTCATGAATACCTCCCTATCTATCTCAGATTTGAAGATATTCATAGCATACGCCTTCTCCACATCAGTAAGTTCCATTGCATCAACTTCATCGAGACACTTGTCGACTGAAAATGCTTCGTCTTGTTTCTTCTTTTCATTGAGTGCTTCCATTGTTTTACTTGTTTGCATCTTCTTAAACTGCACAAAACCATCAATAGCAGCACCAATGTGACTTTGCTTACGCTTTCTCCTACCACTCATTCCTTGCACAGAATCTTGATTGGAAGGTGCAGACTGAGCTTCATTGCGTGCACTTGAGACGTCTAACCCATCAAAAGTAGCACCTGGACTTGTGCTATCAGACACTGCAACAGGAGCAATTGGAGCAGCCAGAGCAGCCAGAGCAGCTGGAGCAGCAATAGGAACAAGAGGAGCAGGCTGCAAGTGCTCAATTGATGTGAAGTTTAGATCTCCTGTAGCAACACTTCCTATGCAAAAAAAGGAGTTTTAGATGTTTACTCCTTGGGGAGTTATCGTTGATGTTCGCTGACTCTGGTGCTGTTGAGTCAGATGATAAAACACAACTGTCTCGAGGAGCTGATGACAACAGTTTGAATCAGGATCATGGAAGTAATAATGGTTTCTTAAACAATAGGGGAATTGATTTGTCAGGAATTGATGGCCCACAGTCTGCCGGAGTGTTTAAATCATCAACACTGCTTGCCCACCGTGATTGTGTAACAGGATTAGCCGTTGGAGGTAAAAATCCAACACTGTTAATGTCTATATTTAAAACATTTGCTATTTTGTTAGTTGGTTTCTTTTGTTCACAGGGTTTTGTAATGCTGGCTCAAGAACTGCCTATTTTCATTCTTTATTTCACTGCAGGTGGATTCTTGTTTAGCTCTTCTTATGATAAAACTATCAATGTGTGGCACTGCAGGTATGAACCTGTTCCTATTCTGTCTTGATAATTTTTCAATTGGTTATCATTCTTGAAATAAGATAACTTGCTCCTGCCATGAGAAATCACAGTATACGTCCGTAATTATTTTTCATTTCACTTCATTTCCTAGTAACTTCTTGTATGGTTCTCATCCAGAGTTTATAGATTGATATCCTTAACAATTCTACCCTCTGAAACTTCATGTTTTGACTTGCTAGTAATCCTGTTACCTTTTTCTTTTGTGATGCAGGAATAGTCTACTAAATTGACAATTGACATTACTCTTTTTTTAAGAAGTGTTGTTACACTTTAACCACTAAATGGTATACTTTCATATTTCACCAGGTTTACTGCAAGGCATCATAATTCTTTGCTCCAACCCCATGTATACATTGTGAATAGCTCAATGTACAGTAAATGGGAAATAAAGGACTGATGGGAACAGACATTGCGAATAGCTCAATGCACAGTAAACATGATATCAAGGATTGACGGAAATAGACATTGTGAAGAGCTCAACGTGAGATGAAGAATGATGGAAAGAGAGAAAGCCCTCCTCATGATTAATAAGAAAAAACAGTTAAGATAGGGTTTTGTAATAAGGGGTGGATATTAACGAAGAGATACATTTTCTTCAAATCCTTTAGGACTAGAATACACTAAAAAGCACAATCTATGTTTTTTTAATAAAAAAGACAAATATTACTGTAAGTGTTGCTTGAACACTCTCTTATTGAAGCATTACTGTAAAAAGCCTAGCCAGCTGCAGCTCCTAGTACGACAGTAGCAATTCTATTCATTTTGCTGCAGTCGCATATACAGATTATCAAAAGTAGTTCTAGCAGTAGCACACTCAGGACTCGTTTATGGTACTTGTAACTTATTTGTGGTAATTATTAGAGCACTTGTGTGATTATTGTGGTGATCAGGACAGAGGGCTGTGGACTACCTACTGCTGATTTGCCAAGGTGATGATTTGGTTCAAGGAAATGAGTTGGTTGTTTCTGATATACTGGTTATGCAAATGCTGATATAACCTTAGAGAGAAGTTTCAAATAACATACCAGCATACAATGACGTACAGTCTTCATATAAAGGAAACGGCTTCTTCTGGAACCTAGCCATTTTTCCATTATCCTATTTAATACCAAGACAACAGCATAGTTAGTACTTGCAACCAGAATTTGGCAACAATTTTTTGGTTTAGTGAAAAAATCTTACATTGATTAGTTTCTTCCATTTTTCGGTTCCGCAATGACCATGGCCAATGAGTCATTCCAACCAACACCACTATCCTTTAACGCTACATGTATTGCCTTCCAGCTGCCCTTTAGCTCCTTTTCCTTCTCTTGTAGCTGCTGCTTTGTGAAGCATGCTAAAGGATATATCTGGGTAAACTTCTCTGAGATACTTCTCCAACCCTCTTCACTCCATCCATTCTGACCCCTGAACAAGGGGATGTTCACATGGTCCCTCATAATGTCAACAAGCCCTTTCTCATATCTAGAGTTCCATGTAGCCCTTGCCTTTGACATTGCTACAAGAAATAATTACAGAAATACATAACTCATAAAATATTATAAAATGTATTAGAGAATTTATTACAGAATATTGCATCACACAGAAATACATAACTCATAACATATTATAGAATATATTGGACAATTTATTACAGAATGTTGCATCACATAATGTATTACAGAAATACATAACTCATAACTCATAACTCATAAATTACATTTCAAACACTACTATCCTACACATTGTAGGTAGCCCACATCTAATGGGCTATCTGGTCTCGTAGGGTATTTCCATGGTTTGATTCCATCTCACTTGGGTAGTTAGTGTCTCCCTCTGGCATGTCGACATAATTTGATGGGTTGATATTATCAGGTAGGATGTCTAGCCACTCTTCACTCCCATTCAACCCTCTAATGATGTTGTGAAACACAGCAACAGCTGCTGGAATCATAACTTGAGATTCAATTGGGTAATGTGTCCCCACTTTCAGAATTGGAAACCGCTTTTTGAGAACCCCAAAGGCCCTCTCAATGTGATTTCGAAGAATCGCATGCCGATGATTGAACAATTCCTTGTAGTTGGCATATGCATTTCCCCGCCACGCCTCTCCTCGAACTCACCGAGATGATACTTAACTCCTCGGTAGGGAGCAAGGAATGATGGTGTGTTTGCATATCCACCATCTACAAGATAGAATTTGCCCTCACCGCACAAGAAATCCCTTGCCAAGAGCAGACCGCAACACTCCTACATCAGATGCGGATCCTTCCCAACCAGATGAGATGAAAGTGAACTTCAAGTCGAAGTCACAGGCAAACATAACATTCTGCGATAGTGTCCCCTTCCTATTTCTATAGGGATCGGCCTTGTCTTGTCCAATTGTGATTGGGACATGCGCATCATCAATAGCGCCTGGATGGAGTTCTGCAGGTAAGAAAATTTACTTAAGATTTGGATTGTATTTAGGAATGGTATTAAGGAAAGTGTATTGTATGTATTAACTGACCTGAAAGAATGGCATAAATCTAGGGTCACATGTAATCTTCATGTGTGTGTGGCTTGGATTCGGAAGTCTGATGAATTTTTGGGTTAATGTTGGAATGATATTGAAGACATCATATATTTTCCTATGCAATGCCTCACCACTATGTTGAAACTCCTTCTTTAGCCTCTCTCAGGCTTGCATTATGAGAGAGCATGAACATAAAAAGACCAAGTTGCTCCTCAATCTTCATACCACGTGTGTCACGCAGCAAGTTCTCAGCCCTGAGAAAGTTTGCTATAGTTCTAAATATTTCAGCCTCCATCCTAAATTCTTCCTTGCACCAATTCTCGTGTCCTTCGAGGATCTCTTTAACCTTTTAGTACCAGGAAGAGAAGAGGTATGCTCAGTGTTTTCTCTTCGAGAAAGGGCATTACAAAATAGGAGAAGAAACAAAGAATAGCTCCTCATCTTCTTCTTCCTCTTCCAACAAAAAATTCTAGCAAGCTCTTTCCAAGAAGCCATCTAGTGTTACATATATGAAATTATATTATTACATATATATTACCAATTCAAATCAACTAGAGAAAAGGAGAGCACTCAAAGTAGAGAAAACAAGTATTAGAAGGGCAGATTCAAAGTATTAAAAGTCTAAAAAAGTTGAGAAAACAAGTATTAAAAGTAGAGAAAACAAGTATTAAAAGTCTAAAAAAGTCAGAAGTACCTAATCATTTTCTATAACATTCTACAGCAGCACCTAATCATATTTATAGCACTCTACAGCAGCACCTAATCATCCAGGCAGCACTTACATCAGCACCTACTCATCCAGGCATGTATGCATTCATTTTTTTAGAATAGGACTAAAAAAATGTATATATATATGTGCCTGCCACACAAATTTAGAACATCGTAGGCATTTGGGCGATGCAAGCTGGAAGAGGGCAGCAAGCTGGAGGTGCTGGCAGGAGAGTAGGCATTTGGGCGATGCAATTGCTTGGAGGTCCATCTTGAAAATGTACTGAATTAATCACAGAAACGGATATGAACTAGTTATAGTTAGCAGTACTATCACAGTTAAACAGTAGATGCATTGGAAACTTGATCTACAGGGAAAACTTTAAACATCTCTAAAAACTTGATATGCCTTTATATGTTAATATTGAAAGGCGTTTTGAAAAAATGCCTCAAAAGACCTTTTGAGTCCAGTTTATAGCAGACATTTTCATGTATGCCTAAAAAGGTTTTTGAAGGCATTTTGGCCACTTTTAAAGGCATTTTTAAATGCCTTGTACAAACAGCCATGCTGTAGTGCCCCTCTTTTGCCACTTTGCTATATGCCACATGTCATTCATTTTTCAAAACAGAAGGTACTAACAAATCAAACCTAATTTGTGCCTCGTGATAAAGATCAAATACCTTAGTTGATTAGGGACCTAGAGATTTAGGAATTGGTGTAGCCTTATACCATGAAACCCTAGGAACCTATCCAACATAGATATGCAAAGATTTTGAAGTGTGAAAGTACAACTAGGCCGGAGAGGTCTCCCCTCCGTGTTCCTTTGATTTGTGTAGGGGAAAGCGAGGTTTGAGAGGGTGGGGTGAAGGAAGGGAAATGGTGGTGCAGCTTGAGGAAGAAGAAAGGAGAGGAAAAGGGAGGCCACACCCGTTCTAAGCAGCACTTACAGCAGCACCTACTCATCCAGGCATGTATGCATTCATTTTTTTAACTAAAAAAAATAAAAGTTATGATTATTTCATTACTTGGTTATGATTATTTCAGAGTAAAGTTTCATATATGTCCTAAAATAAAAGTTAGGGGCTGTCATAAGCTAACAACCTAGAGCTATTGTGAGGAAAGCTTAGATTTTTCTCAGACCATCTCATGAAAAAACTTGCATTAATCTTTTTAACTTATTACTCAAAAATGCTAAAGAGAACAATATAGTGAGAGGAACACTTCAAGATACAGCCATACAGATAGACTAGAAAGCATGAAAAAAAACTGCTAGTGAGAAATCCAGAAGAGTATCCAGGAAATTTCATTAGTTCTAATGCAGTAGGAATCATTGTACACCAGCACAGAGCAAAAAACAATAGATGCAGCACGCAACAGTGGGGGGGACTAACCTGACACCAGTCACCCCGTCCCAAGATGCAGCAGAAAATCACTCCTGCAAAAGCATCATGCCCTTATTAGTCGGAGAGATTTAGCAAGCACTTGTCTGAGATTTAGCACGCAAATTATTAGATTGAGTGATTGACGAGTATGGACGCCATTGGAATTAAAAAACAAACTCTGCTTAAGATCCCACGCTGCCATCAAATTAAAAAGGCACACTCTGCTTAAGATCTCGTGCCGAGTGGGCAAGACCTATCATGCATTCATACAGAGACGAACTGCTTCAGATAATGCTATCTGTCATATTTTAGACAGGATGGTGCCAGGCTAAAGGCATATGTCCTACATTGCAACCTGGTTCATGTTCATGTACCCCCAACAGTAACTGGCTAGAGTCGTATGCACTTGAGAACTGAGCTATGTGCACCTCAATGCAAGGTTTTGAACCTAGCTTCATCAGAAAAGCAGAAACGCTGCACCAGTAGGTGCTAAAGAAAATCATAACCAAGAGTCATAATGAATTTGCTGACTTTGGCAACCGATCTAATTACGCTTCCAACTTAGTACCAGCACACCAGTGTCAGCGAGAGTAAAAGTTAACAACCATGGCACAAAGTAGACAATAATCCTTTAGATCCTTCTGATTCAGAACCTAGGTACGGTGTTGGCTTTGCAGGTTTAATTGCGCTACTCCCTCTTTTGCAAACCATAGGGTCAAATTTGCCTAGTTCAGTTTTTAGGAAAAATATATTAACATCTAGAGCACCAAATAAATGCACCACTATCAAGACATAATTAATGGTGAAAATCAATATTATAGATGCAAGTGTATTTTTCAATAAACTTTGTTAAATATAAAGAAGTTTAATTTAGGACAAACCTAAAGTGGTCAGGACTCAGGAACATCTATTCAAGTAACTCTGAGTCAGGAGTGAATGCAATTTAAATAGCAACATATATTTTGTCGCAAGAGCTCCAGCAGGCAAGAAAGAACATCCAATGTATAATTCAACAGCTCCATGCTAGGCTAATTTATCTACTAGGCTAATATATTATATCCCTCCTCCCCACAGCAATTACAATCTCCCCTCCACAGCAACTGCCATCTCATGCTGACACTAACCAATCCCGCAATACAAATGCACAAAAATAAAATACCCAGAGAGGGAGTATGCGGAATCCTTACCGAAGCAACAGCAGAAAGCACAGAGGTGATGAGCGCCCTCAAATCTCGCACCCTGCTCCCTAGAGCGCCCAGCTTCCGGTTCCCATGTCATGTTGCTCGGCGCCGAAACCCTCAGCCGCGGCCACCTCACCGCCCTAGTGGGACAGTCTGTGAGAAGAGCGGATCAAGAAATCCGAAACCCTAGCGGGAGGCACAGAGATGTAGGATGAGGCGGTCTCACCGTTGGCGTGACCGAAGCGATGAGAAGGCCTAGCAGCGGTGACGGACTGCCGGGGCGGCGTCGACGGGATGCCGGGGCGGCGACGGCCTCGCGACGAGAAGACCTGCACAAGCGGAGGAAGCTACGCGGCTCGCGAGCGATCGCCACGGGGAAACCCTCCCGGCCTCACGAGTCGTGGATTCCTTCCGTGTGGAAAAAGAAGGGAAGCGGGCTGCGACCCTCGGGTGGGTGGGCTGCCAAAGTGCGCAAAAATTTAGCCCGGGGGAGATTGGCACGGGGAGACTAGCCCAGGGAAAACGTGGGGATCCCCCCCAGGGAAACGGGCTGCCAAAGTAGGCCTTAGGTTTAACAAGAAGTTACAGAGAGTAGGGTAAAGCTTTCCCGCTGAGTATTTCGGAGCATTATTTGAATAGCAGAACAAGTGCTAGCATGAGACTTTTTTGCAAACAAAATTTCATGTTTGAGGAACAGGGTGACGAGCCTGTTTGGCTAGTCCATCGGCTATCTTGTTGTGTTACCTTGGAATCTTAACATTCTGATTTGATGTATTTGAGCAAATTTCAGCAACCAAAGGTCCGAGTCTCCAGTGTGCTGGTTTTTGTAATGGCTGAGAGCTTGGAGAGGGTCGGTAACTTCATGCGCCTGAGCTTTGATCATTAAGTTCGAGTGGCCTGGTACCTGTAGGTTTTGTACATGGATGCCAATGCCAGCTGGCGTGGGTGCCTGAATTTGCTGCTCTGAAGGAATTGATGCATCAATGTAGCATTTTGTTGTTATGGTAGAAGATTGTTCGCCACCACTGTAACCTGATTGCACTCGTCCTTGCATGTGCTCAATACTGGAATGTTGTACCACCTGTTTGTCGTCTACAAAAGAAATTAAGTACGAACCTTGGATTTCACCTTTCGTGGCATGGTGGACTTGCCAAATTGTCCATGGTT